AGGTACCCGGGAAGTCATATGGCGAGCATGAGTTATCTCACGAGTTCGGTACATTTAGGAGCCACACGACGTCCGATATCTTCGCAGAATGATAACTCTGGCCTTTAAGAGATGTGACAGATTCTAAAGGTGTCTAAGGACCTTCAGGGTAGCGAAGGGAGGTGAAACCCGATACAATGTTTTTGACATACCAGGCCCGCAATTTTGTGAGGTTTTTTAAATTTTTTAATTTCAGCCCGGCCCGTGCAAGCCTCTACAAACGATCATTGGGTCTCTTACATTCTCTGGGACCCGGCAAATTACGGTTATACTTAATAATTTTCACAGACATTATTCAGATATTATTGCTGGTGTTGATGAAATAATTTATAATTTCGACGACTCAATACTAATATCGATATATGTTTAACGAAAAAAACGCCAAATACAATTTTGAATCAGATGATAATTATTGCTCTATAGTTTTTATAGCAAACACTACTTAAATACTCATTTGTATAATAGAATAAAATTGAAGTTTTGTACAGACATCAAGTCTTAGTCATTAAATGTTTGTGATAATGCAACACAAGTTAGCCTGCTTTTAGTATTGTATGATGCTAAGGGTGTAGTAATTGTAACATCCTCCCGTTCTTTGTTTGACCATATCTCATCCAAGATCCATACATTAATGACACCATCAGATGAAATAGATGTTAAAAGTGAAAGAGGAGTAGAATACATAGGTGGCATTGAATAAATTATGGAGATATCTTTAATACTAAACAAAGTAATTTAAATGTTAGAATAATTACCGCAAAACTAAATTCGCACATATTTTTGAGTGTTATTTACCGGCTTTTGTGTCCTATATATGTTGCAATACAATCACCATTTTTAACGTTATATACTCTCACAGTTTTATCTTCACTACCAGTAATTAACAAATCACCCAATGCCTCATGAGCAAAGTATCGCATGCAAAGATAGCGAGAGTTAAGTTGGAAATTTTGCGTAACCTGACCATCCTTATCATTTTGAAATAATAACGAATTAATGCTAATGACATATGTTAATATAAATATTTGATTGAAGAAACCTTACTGTGATATTATATATTTTTATTTCTTGTCCCATTAAAATAGCATAATGATCGCCTGCTGGATTCCATAATACCATTTCCCCTTCTAATAAGCAAGTAAATTAAAATGTCTCAAATCGGATAAAACATTTAAATTGTCATATAAAATTACCTCTTCCTAATTTATTAACACTCGCTTTTCTACCGGTTAAAAAGTTCCATAATCGCACAGTTTTGTCACTTGACACAGATAATGCTATTTTACCCGATGGATGAATGTCTACAGAGTTAACACGCCCCTTATGACCTTTTAAGACTTTTAAACATTCCCAGTCTTTCGTTCTCCAGATACACACTGTGCCATCTTCACTTCCACTAATCATATGGGTTTTATTGTAAAATTGAATAGTGGTTATAGAACCTTCATGCTGTAATAAAGAACCAAGTTCTTTACGCTTCTTGATGTCATACAGCCTAATAATAATTCGAGAGTTTTCACCTATTAAAATGTATTCGTGATCAAAATAACATTTGTATAATCACTCACTTGATCACCTCATCAGTGCTACCCGAAGCTAAGTACCTGGAACCCACGGCTACAGCTTTAATGCAACCAATATGGGCAGGAAATATAAAGGTTGGATCAAAATGTAGTGAAGGTTTACACTTGATTTAATCCAATATTATTTATTTAGGCATATATATTACACAAAATTTATAACCGAATAGAAACATGCCAATATATTTGAAATATGTACTTTATCAAAATTACTTTGATCCGATTTGACCCACCGTCCATTAATACCATACAATATTCTCTCATAACTACCCACGACGATAAGAAAATCTTCAACAGGCTCTTTCATTTCGTACGTTTGAGAAGTAAGATTATGATTCGTATCTGACGCACTTTCCTTATGGATAAACCTTTTTTTTGATGGTGATTCAATTGTATCAAAATTTTTTGAGGTGCGTTTGGGTTTCGGCATTTTGAGCTAAAATCTTTGATCTTAATCTAAGATGCATCTAACGCTAAGATTCGTAATTTATTAAATTTATTAAGACTATGTATTCACATGATAATTATCAGCCAATCACAATTGGGTTTATGATAAACTATTTAATTGGAACAAATAAACATTTAATTCTTTGTCCTGAACCAAAACAAGCTGGATACAACTTAAGATATATTGAGCATTAAATATTATTAAAAACCAGATCACAGTTGAGCAAAACTTTCAAATCTGCATGCGTTTATGATTTTTATTATCTACCTTATTACTA